AAGGGCTAACTTGTGCTACCCCATTCCTTACCGTGAATTGATCTGATGCTGTTGGGATGTTAATGAAAACCTTTTTGCCATGCTTGTGTTCATTTGTTTTCGCAGTTGAGCAGCGCTTTGAATTTTGGGCCTTTTCCTTAAGCAGTATATTTTTCTGCGTGTATGCCTGTTATCAGAAAAATCGGGTCATAAAGTTAATTTATCTCCTTGCACAGAAATAGAATGCAAAACGATAGCATGCAAGTATTGTGCCGTACACTGGAAGTATGACTTGAGAGTGTGGAAGAGTAATCACTTTGTGTTGGCATCTGACAGCTGTTGCATGCTTGAAGGCATTTGAAATGGGAAATTCTGTGTGAGAAGATTATTTGATGGAGTGTTATGCTGAGAGCACGGCTAGTTAAACTTCATGAAAGCAGATGCAGAACTGCTCTGGCAGAGGTGCTATTGTCCTATTTAAGGACTCCCCCTAACATGAGAGGTGTTTTTTTTTTTTTTTTTAAGTACAACAAAAATGTCTCGAATACGATTTTAAAATAACAAGATGCTGTGAGCCGCTAGTTCACCAGAGTACCCTTAGATGGAGCTGTCAGCTCCTCCACTGCTTGTATAAACTGAATGAAATGCCTGATGTTGAAAGCAGAACTGATTTTTTTCAGCATCACCTATGGCAATCTGTTTAGCGTTGCAGTGACTCAGCTGTTTTGCCAAATCGTTGGCACGCGAAGCAACGAGCTGTACACCAGGTCTAGTGCTTTTTCTCTCATGTGCGGAACTTGCCAGCGCTGCAGCTTTGCTTTGGGAATGGATGCTTTGGAAGGTCAAGGTGTCTTTCTCCCTTGTCCTCCACCTCCTCAGGAGTGAATGCTCAGTGTTTGCAGAATTCCTGTTTGGTTCTAGCAGAAATTGTTTGCGGGAAAGCGTAATCTGCAAAGCTCTTTATTCTTCCTGCGCTCATCTCGCGACCAGGAGCGGAAAAAATATGACTCCTTAGCTGGTCCTACCCTTGCTCTTTGCTGCTCACATAAGTGCAAGACCCTGAATGAGTAAGCAAGTGTCTAGTTAAGGAGTGTTACAGACAGGAAATGTTCCATGAGTGGAAGGGTAGGGTGGCTCATTAAGTAATTTTGGCATTAGAAACACAAATGATTTGGCTGCTTCATGACTTTCCTCCTGCCTCCCCCACAACGTGTTTTCATTTATTGAGTGTCTTTTGTGAATGTTTTGTAGGAAAACTCTGAACTGGGACTCTGGAGATCTAGATTCTGTTCTCAGTTTAGTAACAGATTTCATACAGATAATCTTTTCTAGCTCTGTTTCTCCTCTGTAGGATGTGGTTATTACTACTTCTTCACAGATGTGCTAGGAGGATAAAAATGAATTTTTAAGACTATCCTGATTATGTTTTACTGTATAGCAGAGAAATCTACTTAAAGCTCTCTTCAGCTTAATTAACTTCCCCTGAGTGTTGAACACTGTACAGATACAAGATGACAGAAGCCTGAGACAGAGCTGGATTAGTTTACAGATCTCTCTGAGCTCAGATTCACTTCCACCTGTGTACCAACTTGCTTTCCAAATTAGGTGTAAACATCTCAAGAGGAAACTTCCTTCAAGACATGTTTCACTTGGTGCTAAAAGTCTTTTTTTTTTTTTTTTTTTTTTCCTTCCTTTTTTAAAAAGAATGCTCAGCTACTGGGGACAGCACAGCAGTTATTCACCCACTGCCAGGCACAGAAAGAGGAAATAAAACGTCTTTTTCAACAGAAACTTGATGAGGTAGCCTTGGTCTGGTGGAAGTGTGTTCTTATTTGTCATCTGTGTGGAAATATTTTTGCTAAAAAGGAGCAAGACCAGAGTGGTCTTGAGTCTTCAGCCTCCTTTTTGCAGATTACGTTAAATCATGTGGAATCTCTTTGCTTCTTTGGTTAGGTTTTATCTTCATTGTTAAAATTGTTGTGTGCCACTCTGCCTTATCTAGAGGAAGGGGATGACAGTCCCCAGACAGCATGATGTTTTAACGAAGGATAATTGCTAGTTGAATGAGCTCTGTATTGCTAATGCAAGTTCAGAAGCACAAAGGGAAACGTGGTGGTGGCTCTCTGCAAAAATAGTGTTCTCATGGTTGTCAAGAAAAACTAAATGTCAATTTTGGAGATGAATTGCTAGAGCAGCCACTCAAAGTGAGGTACTTCTGTCCTTCCTCATTATCCCATTTGTAAAATAGTGATGACAAAGTGCCTCAGAGTGCTGGGAGACTTTCTAGAAACTGTGAAAGTTCTACAGGTCTCCTTAACGTTACTCTTGAACGTTGTGACAGTTGTCTGGAATTAGAGTGTCAAGATCTTATTGAATGATCTCTTCCCTTCTCACCCTCCATCCTACAGTTGGGAGTTAAAGCTCTGACTTACAATGACCTGATTCAGGCTCAGAAGGAGATCTCTGCTCACAATCAGCAACTGAAAGAACAGACGAAACAGCTGGAAAAGGATAACAGCGAACTCAGGAACCAGAGCTTACAGCTGGTGGGTACAAAGCTTGTATCTGACTAGCAGAGTGATGCTGCCATTTATGTAAGGAGGGCAGGTCACAAGCCGGGGGCTGCCTCACCTGGCTAGTGTAGTTCCTCTGCAACAGAGAAGAATGATCCTGGTGGAGAGAATGCCGGTGGTCTCTTTCCTTGGAGACCTTTATTTACCTCTAGCAAATGCTGAGATGACAGTTGGCTCTGGCATCGTCTGTACAGCTGTGCATAGGCTCGTCGCTGAACTTGGATCTCAACGGCCAAGAAGTTTGTACAATGTTTGCTTCGTGGTAGCCATAACTCTTATCTTATTCTTCTCAGTATTAAGATGGGCAAGGAGAAAATCTGGATGCAGAGGTGCTTGGTTATCCTGGGAGATAAGACTAGTTTAAGGCAGAACCAGGTCACCTCCTGCCACGTTAGAGTGGGACTACAGGACTGTTTTGGTGGTGTTTGACTTGAGTTGAGAGGACTTTTCAAGAGGAAAAGAAACTTCTTGCAGAAATCCAATTGAAAAATGCATGGCACCCGCAAAGGCACGCCTTGCGCCTTGGGTGGTGTGAAATGGTGAAAGTGTGTGTGGTTTTTTTTTTTTTTTTTTCCCCTCTGATCTGTTCATCCTATATCTTTGCAGCTGAAGGCACGATGTGAAGAACTGAAGCTGGATTGGTCAACACTGTCGCTGGAGAACTTGCTGAAGGAGAAGCAGGCCTTGAAGAATCAGATTTCTGAGAAACAAAAGCACTGTTTGGAATTGCAGGTAGAGAGCAAGGGCGGGGAAAAAAAAATTAGAATCCCCAACCTAGGTTAGCTCTCGGACAGTAGGCTCGTTAAAGTATTTGATTAAATACAGCATTAAGGGTAAGCTAGGTGGCTGTTAATTTTTTTTCCTAGAGATTAATATTAATCAGAGGGTTTTGGTGAACTTGAGATGAGTAAGAATACATATAACTTTTTGACTCTCAGGGTAATTAAAGGAAGCAGACACTATGACCTGATTCTCTTGTAACGCTGTGAAAGACGGAATCATGGTTTATCTTCTCTATATCATTAAAAAGCTTGACCTAGTGGAAAGAGAGGTCTGTCTTGTTTATATAATATGTGGCTTCAGTGTCTATGCGCTCTGAAGTTTCAGTTCAGGAATCGATTTCCACAGAATCTCACTTAACCATAGTGAAAACAAATGAAACTGCTGTGACTGAAGAACTTGTTTCTTTCTTTGTGAGGTTAGCTTTAGAGAGCTTTTTGCTGGATGCCTTGATATGGGGTGACTCTTTCCTTCTGTGACTGACAGTAGTGAGTTACTGTGTACTTCTTATATATGTGTGTGTGTGTATACATGTATTTATATTGGAGTTATCTTATGTTTACTTCCAAGAGTTGAAAGGTGCTTTCTAATAGTCTCTGAGCCATTCCCCTTACCTGCACCTTTTCGTCTCGCAAAATCGGAGTAGCCTGTTGAAATTTGTTTCTCAAATTGTAGGTCGTTTGTTTTGCGTTATTCTCAGAAATGGATACGCTATTTCAGAGCAGCATATGATGGCAAAACTCCATAATGTGATAGAGTTCTTAAGTACGGTCTTTAATCGATGTCCTCCTCTTCATTTAAAGATCAGCATTGTGGAACTTGAGAAGAGTCAAAGACAGCAGGAGCTCATGCAGCTGAAATCATATACACCATCTGATGAGTCACTGTCAGTACAGCTACGCAATAAAAATCATTTGAGCCGTGATCCTGAGGCTGATCATGGCAGGTTCCAACTTGAGCTTGAATGCTCTAAGTTTCCTATGCCCCACATCAATGGCATGAGCCCTGAACTGTCCATGAATGGCCATGCTACTCCCTATGAAATTCATAACACTTTTAGCAGGCCTTCCTCCAAGCAGAACACCCCTCAGTACACAACCTCTCATCTGGACCAAGAAATAGTTCCATGTACTCCAAACCACAACAGCAGACAGAAGGCAGACAAGATGACAAGCTTGTCCTTACCCGATTACACCAGGTTTTCCCCAGCTAAAATAGCACTAAGGAGACACTTGAATCAGGACCATGCAGTCAATGGAAAGGCAACAACTAATGAGATACAGAGGTGAGAGTGATCATTTCCTAAGATGGGAAAAAGAGGGGTGGTAATGTTGTTTGTTTTTTTTGTAACAGTAGTTTATATGGCTTGTCAAAAAATAGTTTAAAGAGTAGACTTTTATACACTTAAAGCTCTGTGTCATAAGCCAGCAAAACCAGCAGTGCCAGCTGATCAGGTAAACAAGGTGGTATAGTGCCTTGAGTTCGGTACAGGGATTCCTTGTATCCTGACTGTTGTGCATCTCTGTTCCAGAGTTGACCACGTGAAAGAGAATGGCCTTACATATCCAAGCCCTGGTATTTCAAATGGCATAAAGCTGAGTCCTCAGGAAACTCGGCCCTCTTCCCCAGGGGCCTTACCCATTGCAGGCGAGAAGGTAAGAAGAGGTCTGATTACGCTTGGGTGCAGAGACCTTACACCTGGTAGAACAAAGAAAAAGTAGGCCAGACTGGGGGATGCAGACCTTACTGTAGTCAGCTTGGTGCGGGATGTAACACAAGATACAGTAGGTGCAGAACCCCAGAAAGGAGGGACTGGCTAGAGGAAGAGAGTACAGTGCTCATGAAAGAGATGCTTTCCTCTGAGTCACTGGCTTGCGTATGAATTATGCTAATAAGCTAGTAGGACTTTTGGTCTGATCTGAGTCTATTTCAACTTCAAAGCCAGATTTCATTTAAAAAAGAAAAACAAAAGTGTTGGTCCTGCCCCATGGTTGATCCTGCCATGGATCTTCCTGGTGTTCATTTTGAAGCAAGGAGGTGCCCTTCAGCAGG